AAAAAAAAAGGGGGGGGGGGGGGGGGGGCAGAAATCCCGTTTCCAAACCAGTTCTGCTTGCTTTGTGAACAGCTGAATTCTGAACAAGCTCTGGCAATCACTAGTTAGCCTGTCTCAACCATTTGAACAGCCTGGCTTATTTATTCTTCTTGTAAGTACCACAGTTTAGTGTAGTGCCTGTAGCTGCATCCAAAGGGCCTAAGAGGTGGTGATGTACAGGCAAACATGCTTCATGCAGTACGTCTCTTGTCCCAGACGCAAGTGTCAGAGTTATTTAACCTCTATCAACAGCTTTGCTCTTCGGATGGGGAAGGGCACCTTTGTTCAGATCCAGTGTTTAACAAAACCTACCCCCCCAAACTACCTTTGTGGATGTGCTGTAGGATTTTTCTTGCTCAATAGCAAGGGAGTGACTCTGCTTTCATTTTAAGAAAGCAGGGTTTGGAGGGCATTGTATCAATACTGTTTCAACTACAAGGTTTTTTCCTTGTGCATTGGAGGAAAGATCTTGTAATATCACTTAGAGATTTTCTTATACCTTGCTATTGACACTTTCATATTTCTATGTCTAGAGGCTGAAACTTCAATGTAAAAATGTTTGCATTTGTTCATTTTGACTTATGATGTAATTTTTGTTTCTATATTGTTAGACTTGTAATGTTTAAAATTGTATTTTATTAAATTTGGACTGGATGTATGTCTATAGCAATACGAGGTACTCTTTCTAAACTGTTATGGGTGGGTTAGCAGCCCCATGTTGCGATAAGATGCTGGTCGTGTACAACTTGCAATGTATTTTTTTTTTTTAGCCTGCAGGGATATTTTGTGTTCATGTGTCCAAAAATAATAATAATAATAAAAAAAAATTGGCATTCTTGTGCCAAATGTTCTGTTTTTCCTTGTTGATGTCTAATAAATGCAATGTACAGAGTGAGGAACCGATACTGTTGCCTGTAAACAAATGTCTTAAATTATTTAACTTTTAATTAAAACTTGTACACAATGTGTAACCTGTGGAACTCATTGCCACAACATATTTATTTCTGATGTGCTAGGACTTAGAAAGCGATGGAAGTACACATGGATAACATCTCTAGTGATACTAAAAGGAGGGCTTAAATTAACCCGTTTTCAGAGCCTGCGCTTGCCATGGGGGGGAGATGTTTGGAACGGGTGTATTTTTTTTTCATGTTCTCGGGAAATTATATTGCAATGTCTAGAGAAATTATGGTGTCAATAGACTCTGTATCTGCCTGGAAAAGTGATTCTATATTAGAGAGTTGCAAATTAATAAATGAAAGAGCTGTTTGCTTATTCATCTTCTCTATTTGAGGTGAGGGTTTGCTGTTTCCTCAGGCAACTGTACTTCACTAAAAATACGATGGTAAGGACAGGAAAAGATTTTGGCCGAGGCCAAAACATGACAGCTATAAATGAACTCGGGACACATGATTGCTTAAAATAACCTGCATCTTCAGCAAACCCCTGCTTCCAGGTTTTAATTTTTTTTTTTTTTGCAGTGGAGATCCTGTGGGGTTTGGGAACTGAGATGGTTCAGCCTCAGGCGAGCCTGAGGAGCTCGAAAAGCAAAGGATGACTTTATCCTGGTGTCTTCCAAAACTAACGTGAAGATCCCTTGGATCAAACCCCAGGAACCAGGGGCTGGAGCTGCACGATGCCTTTAAGCGATGATGTGCCTCCATCTCCCCGTCCTCTGCTTGGCCGCACGCAGCCCTGGCACCTTCCTCCCTTAAACGTGCCTCAAAAAAACCAGCTGCCCGCTGGCTGCTGCTCCAGCGCCGGCCCTGGGGACGACGGCAGCGCCTCACGCTCGCTCCTGTGTGTGGGGGTAGGAAGAAGCGAAAACGCTTTAATACTTGGAATTTCTGTGGTTTTCTTCCATTGCCTCGCACGATCCAGAGTAGGATTGCAAACCTCATCTCGTTTAGCCTTGTCTCGAAACAATGCTCCTGGGGCTTTTTGACTTTATTATCAAAGTCGTGCCACAGGGTCAGTGTTTTCACTCGTCAGCCCTTGCTGGGGAGGGCAAATCTAACATGTGGTGAAAAAATGGGACGTTTCTGCCTAGTTTGGCTGGGTTGAGGGGGAGTGGGGCTACGCGGGCTCATGGCCAGCAAGACCCGGAGCATCTCAGGAATAACAAAAAAACCCTGTCAATACGAGAACCTGTTTTCCCGCCGCTTCCTCCCCAGCCTGGCAACACAAATCGGAAAAAGACCCTGAAAAAATGTCTCAGGCGGTGGATCTGAGGGCAGGCCCGAGCGCCGGCCTTCCACCCTGCACCGCTCCTGGGCGGCGGCAACGCTCGGGTTCGCCTCCCGGTTCCCCTCCCGCCAACCCCGGTACCACCCGGTGTGCGTGTACGTGTATACATCCCCATCCCTCCCGCTTTCCCCTCGCCCGCCGGGACCGGGCCCAAAATGGCGGCGGGTCCGTCGGGCGCCGCCTTTGTTGGGCGCGGGGCC